ATATAAAATCCATTTACATGGAAATTTAAAGCAAAACTCAGAAACAGTGAGTAGAATATTGATTGTCAAGGGCTGAAGGATGAAGGTTAAAAAAATGCCATTAGAATGTATTAAACAGAAATGCAATTTCAGATAGTAAATGACCTAATATGAAGATTTTATTCTAATCATAATGTTTACACTTTCATAGTTTATTACTAGAAAGTCTTTCTCATACCTCTCACCTGACACTAACAGCACCTCTGTAAGGTAGGTATTATTGTGATTTAACTTTATTGTGATCATTCCTGTTTTAATGATGAAGAACAACAAAGTTCAAAAAAGTTCAATAATCCATCTGCTTTCAGAGATAGAACTGGTATTCAGATCTGCATCCTTCTAAGTTAAAATCTGATGCTCTTTAACCCACTTCAAAGGATATCAGATTTTATAAGAACCTCTTTTGTATCATAGCAATTAAAAATGTTTCCTTTCTTTTTAAGCAGAGGGTGGATGATGCTCAATGGGCTGTTGTGTATGGATTTCAGACGTTTTTGAGGTTAGGAATGATAATTTTGTCGGTACACACTGATTCTCTGATCTGATTCTGATTTCATTTCAGAGTTTAAAGAATAGTCCAAGACATTTTCATGATGATGTTTCAACAAAATCCATATGGCTCCTCTGTCTATGAGATTTCCCAGGCAAGAATACTTGAGCAGGTTGCCATTTCCTTCTCCAGAGGTTCTTCCCAGCCCAGGGATCAAATCCATGTCTTTTGAGTCTCCTGCGTCGGCAGGCAAATTCTTTACCACTAGTACCACATGGCGACCCTTATAGCTCTTCAGACAGGTTACAATCCTCATTGAAACTGTCTGCTATCACAGATATTATTGCAGAACTATAATATTACTGCGTCCAGTCAGACTATGTTTGGTCATGTGTTTTTTAGTTTTCTTAAAATGTTTTCCTTCATTGATACATGCTGATCATAGTGACTACATTCTCTGGAGTCAATCTAGAGTTATCTACAATTTATTTTTCTTCTTATTAAAGCATATTTGAACATCTTTAAGTAAGTTTGGCTTTATATAAAAGCATTCCTGAATTGAATTGAATTTTTTTATCAAATAATTTTAATATCAGTTTTATCTCTTTTACTAGATAATAATAATGGGCCTCGCAGTTGGTGGCAATGTATGAATATCACAATACTTTAGTCATAAAACGTAATTTAAAGATAATAGTCCTGTCCCAGGTTTTAATGGCCTGGTTTCTTATTTCTTCATGATAAATGTGTTCCTATTCCCTTTCTTATGTTTTACTATATAAATTCTGAATATTATTTCCTACTTTTAATGTCTTATATGGATATTACAAGATTATGTTTAAATGACAAATGCATTTTACTATCTCTGAATATAATTGAAAAATAGACTTATTTTCGTCATTATCATGTTAATCTAATTTCAAAATTGACACAAAAAACAACTACTTTGCAGAAGTACCATAAAATTTGTCTGGTAAGAAGTGCTAAATTTATAATGAGGTTCATAACAATCACTTAACATAGGGCTGAACACAGTATTTAGAAATTACGGCTACCGTGAGTGGTCGTCGATGTTGTTGAGCACTGTTGTTAAGGAGTGTCCTAGTCTTTGCTCTCCCGAGGGCTCTAGCCCTCCAGGCTCCAGTGTCCATGAGATTTCCTAAGCAAAACTACTGGGATGGGTTGCTATTTCCTTCTGCAGGGGATCTTCCTGACCCAGGGATTGAACTCATTTCCTTCACTGGCAGACAGATTCTTTACTGCTGAGCCAACAGAGGAGCCTATCATGAATGGTAGATCAGTTAAAATAAAATTGCTGTTCAGTCGCTAAGCTGTGTCCCGACTCACTGTAACTCCATTGCCTACAGCATGCCAGGCTTCCCTATCTTTCACTGTCTCTGGGAGTTTGCTCAGATTCATGTCCATGGAGTAGGTGATGCTATTTAACCATCTCATCAAAATAAAATATTATAATAAATATCTAAAAATCTAATAGTAGTGCCCCCAAACATTTAATTTATAAGTACCAAATACTCAGACTCTGTATTTACGCTCATTCACCATCAAATATCCAAGTCCAGAAGTGGTCAACTTCTTCCTATGTTTTACTCTTGTGACTATGATTTAAAGAATCTGCCCAAGTGCAGGAGACCTGGGATCAATCCCTAAGTTGGGAAGATCCTCTGGAGTAGGAAATGCCAACCTGCTCTAGTACTGTTGCCTGGAGAATTCCAAGGACAGAAGAGTCTGATTGGCTATAGTCCATGGAGTCACAAAGAGTAGGACATGACAGAGTGAGTAACACTTTTCACTTTGTTTTCACATAGACTTAAAGATGAAGTTTAAAATTTAAAAAAAATGCTATAAAAGTATTTCTCTGATGTTGTTATGAAATAATTGGTTGTTAGCAAGACCTGCTAATGGTGGAGAAATACCCATGAGTTCCAATTAGCCACACCTAAGAAACTTCATAGACTTTACCCACAAATAGGATACATGGTAGTGCTTTTAAGACTTATCCAAAGGTACCATCAAGAGACATTGAGTGAGCTGGCATTTTTAATCTCATGACTTTACTTCTTTCCTGGTGAACTAACAGCTGCCTGGAGCCTGGCCATGGCACTAGGTCAGACACTCTCATTGGTGAGATTATTTTTTGAAATCACACAATCATATATTCTCAGGTATAAATGTATGTCTCAAATCATATCATCACTGCTGATCCAAATTTAGCTGAGGTTTCAAACTTTCTTAAGCCTGCAAAACATCAAGAAAGGTAGAGTTGACTATAGTACTAGCAATTTAGAAGTAAAAATATTTTAGAATCTTTTTTTCTTATTGATATGTATTTAAATTAGTGGAGCTAATAATACAATTAGCTACAATGAGATAAGTTAGAATAACTATACAATTTAAATTGCATCCAAAATTTTCCTCACTTAATATTACGGCTGATAATTTTTTCACATCGCACAATTTTTAAAAGCATCTCTGTTAAAAGCTGCATATTATTCAAAAAGATCCACTATAGTTTAATTGTCCTTTTCTCCATTATCATTTTCTTCCACACCCTTTCTAAATTTTCCACAGCTGTTAGTGACTATGTTGACCATATTTATACATAATGATGTTTCCCTTAAAATATTTTACATTAAGCTTTATTCCAGGAAAAAGTATTATGGAGCTAAAGAAAAATTTAAAAAGTAACTTATTTTGCTTCATAGTTGTTTATAAAGCACTTCTGTGAATTGTGTCTAATTCTTACTTTATTTACACCGTCTCTTCTGTGATCTGCTGGGAGATCCCACTAACAAAGGAGGAAGTTCAGCGAAGCTGCTGTGTTGTGTGCCCACATATGCATACAATTTTCATCTTGGAAAATTAAAAGAAATAATGTTTCTATCTGATTATCTCTGAAAAGACATGCTGTATGGAATATGTTTCATTATGTTTATTTCTCTTCTCTTTGGCAAATTTATAACCCCAAATTGTATTAGTTACACATCCTGTAACCAGGAATGATTGGAGACGGCTGCTTTGGGAAAACAGGAGAAGAAGGCATGAGGTTGCATGGAGCAGAAACATAAAGGAGTGGGAAGCTCATGCAGGTCATGGATAGATGTGCTGCTGCTTTGATGATACAATTTCAAGGATTAAGTTCATTCAATAACATCACTTTTCATGATTTTATGTGAGCAACATACATTAATGTGCACAGCAAGGGTTCAATAAATGTTTGATGAAGGAATCTGTAGTAAGAGTTAATAGTAAGTAATGGACTTTATACATGTTTTGATAGTTGGTGTATTGATATATATGTTTTTTGTATAGTGTATTAGGTATCGCTCTAATTTATCTGGCAGAGTATTTTTTCCTGTTCTCCTTGTTAAATTTTTATTGTTAAAGCTTTGAAAATAAGAATTTCCTATGCTTGATAGATCCTTGTGTGTTGAACATCTATGAAAGAGTTTATGTTTTAATCCAAGTCTTCTAAAGCTATAAATTTCTAGAACATGATTATGCTAAATTGTATGTGGGGCAGAATTTTGAAGAATAAAAAATATCAACAAACAAACACACTATCTTGAAAGAAAAATGACCCAATATGTGTACTTTCTTAGAAGCAATTAACTACTTTCATGGTTACTCTCGGGAGTGCGTCAGAAACTGTTATACAGGAGTGTAGCTTCCTTTCAAATGTTTATGTTTCTTATAAAGTAGAGAGATTACACATAAACAGAGTTGGAGGACAAGAGCACTTGAATTCCTGCTGAGTTTATGGTTTGGGGAAGCAGACATATGCTTACCCTTTGAGAATGGCCATTTCATACCAAGCCCTTACTCATCACCCATTAGGTTTCAGGCAGTGCAGGCATTCTGGGCACTATGGTAAGTGATGAATAGCTTATGTGTCCTGGTAGGTACAGGGGAGCATGCGTCTCCAAGGACATATACACACCTCACTAAATTCCCTCCATGTCATAGATACTTCTTGACCATATTTTTTTCTTTCTACAGTTTGACCCGAGGGTTGGAATATAAATTCTCATGGAAGAGAGAAGAACTCTTTCTTGTGCATAGCACTTCTCAGCTTTCAAGATACCTCTGAAAATTGCAATTTGTTACCTCACAGACACAGAGTAGGGCTTGGGAAGCATGGGGCACTGAGGTGACTTAGTTCAACGGAGTTGGGACCAGTAGGAGAATCCAGATCTCATGTAGGAAGCCCAGTGTTTTCTTGTCAAATTACACATCAAATGCGGCCCTACTGATGTCTTACAGGTGACAGGTACTAGATGTCTGAAGAGATGCAAAATACCATGGTGAAAATAAGAAAGAATTGAAATGAGTACAGGGCAAGAGTTCCAAGGGCATGTTGCACAGTGACGATTTTGTTCTAAGAAAGTCAGATCACAAGACTTTCATGATCAATGAGTATCATTCTTTATCCCAGGAAGCTGTCGCTTACTGAATGGATGTCCTCAGGCCTTCCAACAATGTGACAGAATTTGTTCTCCTGGGACTCACACAGAATCCACATGTGCAGAAAATCCTCTTTATTGTCTTTCTGTTCATTTTCCTCTTCACTGTGCTGGCCAACCTGCTCGTTGTCATCACCGTCTTCCTCAGCCCCACGCTTTCTGCTCCCATGTACTTCCTTCTCACTTACTTGGCCTTATTAGATGCCTCCTTCACATCTGTCACCACCCCCAAACTGATTGTTGACTTACTTCATCAAAGAAGAACCATCTCCTGGGGAGGATGCATGACTCAGGTCTTTTTAGAACACTTCCTGGCAGCATCAGAGGTCATCGTCCTCACGGTCATGGCCTACGACCGCTACGTGGCCATCTGCAAGCCTCTGCACTACACGACCATCATGCGACAGGGGCTCTGCCAGCTTCTGGTGGTGGTGGCCTGGATCGGGGGGATCCTGCATGCCTCAGTGCAGATTCTTTTCTTGACGGACTTGACCTTCTGTGGTCCCAATGTCATTGACCACTTCACGTGTGATTTCTTCTCACTGTTGGAACTTGCCTGCAGCGACACCTACATACCTGGAATCGTGGTGGCAGCCAACAGTGGGGGCATGTGCTTGCTCATTTTTTCCCTGCTTCTGATCTCCTACATAGTCGTCCTGAGCTCCCTGAAATCCCATGGCTCTGAAGGACGGCGGAGAGCCCTCTCTACCTGTGGCGCCCACTTTACTGTAGTGGTGCTCTTCTTTCTGCCTTCTGTGTTCACCTACACACGTCCTGTGGCCACGTACCCTGTGGACAAGTGGGTGACTGTGTTCTCCGCAATCCTCAGTCCCATGTTAAATCCTATCATTTACACAGTGAGAAACACAGAGGTGAAAAATGCCATGAGGGATCTGATGAAGAGAAGAGTAGTGTCGGTGTTCAGAATGCCAATAAAGTGGTGATTTATATACATAGGGACAATTAAGTGTGAATACTCAGTTGCTAAGTCATGTCAGACGCTTTGCAACCCCATCAGACTGTCACCAGCCAGACTCCTCTGTCCATGAGATTTCCCAGGCAAGAATACTGGAGAGGGTTGTCATTTCCTTCACCAGAGGATCTGTGCAAACCGGGATCAAACTAGCATCTTCTGCATTGGCAGGCAGAGTCTTCACCATCGAGCCACCAGGAAAGCCCACGTTGTTTTTGTTGTTCGGTCACTAAGTTGTGTCTGATCTTTGCCACCTCACGGACGGTAGCATGCCAGGCTCCTCTGTCCTCCACTATCTCCCGGATTTTCTCAGATTCATGTCCATTGAGTCAGTGATGCTATCTAACCACCTTATCTTCTGCTGCCTCTTTTCTCCTTTTGCCTTCAATCTTTCCCATCATCAGGGTCTTTTCCAATGAGTTGATCCTTTCGATCAGATTGCCAAAGTGTTGGAGCTTCAGCTGCAGCATCAGTTCTTCCAGTTAATAGTTAGGGTTGATTTCCTGTATGATTGATTTCTTTGATCTCCATGCAGTCCAAGGGAGTCTCAAGAGTATTCTCCAACACCCCAGTTCAAAAGCATTGATTCTTCAGCATGCAGCCTTCTTTATGGTCCAATGCTCACATCCGTTGGAAACACCATAGCTTTGACCATATGGACATTTGTTTGTAAAGTGACATCTCTGCTTTTTAATATGCTGTATGTATGTCATAGCTTTACCTCCAGGTAGCAATTGTCTTTTAACTTCATGGCTGCAGTCTAGTTCTGCAGTGAATCAATCTGATTGTGATATTGACCATATGGTGATGTCCACATGTAGAGTCATCTCTTGGGTCATTTAAAAAGGTGTTTGCTATGGCCGGTGTGTTTTCTTGACAAAACTCTGTTAGCCTTTGCCCTTTTTCATTTTGTACTCCAAGACCAAACTTGCCTGTTATTCTGAATATATCCTGACTTTCTACTTTTGCATTCCAATCCCCTGTGATAAAAAGGATATCTTTTCTTGCTGTTAGACCTAGAAGGTCTTGTAGGTCTTCACAGGGTCAATCAACTTCAGCTTCTTCAGCTTCAGTAGTTGGGACATAGACTTGTGCTATGCTGATGTCGAATGGTTTACCTTGGAAGCAAATTGAGATGAGTCTGTTGTTTTAGAGATTGCCCAAATACTGCGTTTCTTACTCTTTTTTCTAACTCTGAGGGCTATTCCATTTCTTCTAAGGGATTCTTGTCCCCAGTAGTAGATATAATGGTCATCTCAATTAAATTCAAGTCCCTGTTAGTTCATTGAGTCTATGTTCAATCTTGCCATCTCCTGCTTCACCACATCCAATTAACCTTGATCCATGGACCTAACATTCCAGGTTTCTATGCGATATTTTTCCTTACAGCGTCAGACTTTACTTTTACCACCAGATGCATCCACAATTGAGTGTCATTTCTGCTTTGGCCCAGCTGCTGCTTTCTTCCTGAAGCTATTAGTAATTGCCCTCCATGCTTCCTGGTAGTATATTGGATACCTTCTGACCGAGGGGCTCATCTTCTAGTGTCACATCTTTTTGTCTTTTCATATGTTCATGGGGTTCCCCTGATAGGAATACTGGAGTGGGTTGCCATTTCTTCCTCCAGTGGATCATATTTTGTCAGAACTCTTCACTATAATCCATCCATCTTGGGTGGCCCTACATGGCATGGCTTATAGCTTCATTGAGTTGTGCAAACTGCTTTGTCAAGACAAGGCTGTGATCCATGAAGGGACTGAATAAGACTGTAACTATTTTATTAAATTGTCATTATCTCTGTTGTGAAATCTATTATATGAATATAATACTCATGCAAGGAAAAACTTTCATATGATATTACCCTGTTTTATTAATTACAGTGTCCTTAGCCATAGCATATTTTCAGTATTAAAATAGGTAGTATTATCCAATTTAATAATTGGATAAATATTTAAACACTATATCTGAATTGGTAGTAAATTTTTATATATAGACCAAACATCAAGCCAGAATATATTGAATACTAAATAAAAAGAGAGAAAAACTTGCAATGACAGGTAGAAAAATACATGATAAATTCATCTTTGCTGAAGCAAAACAACTGGTCTGGTACTTTGTTTTTAACTGTAAACAGTCTGAAAATGGTTATAAAATATTTTTCCCTTTATCGCTGTCACATCTCCAGTTCAGTTCTGTCACTTAGTCGTGTTCAACTCTTTGTGACCCCATGGACTGCAACACGCCAGGCTTCCCTGTCCAACACCAACTCCCAGAGCCTGCTCAAAATCATGTCCATCAAGTCGGTGATGCCATCCAACTATCTCATCACAACTTACAGACCTTAATCAGTGATACGGTTTAGTAGTGTTTCTACACAGAGAATGAGATGGTTGGATTCCATCACAGACTCAAAGGACATGAGTCTGAGCAAGTTCTGGGAGACAGTGAAGGACAGGGAAGCCTGGCATGCTGCAGTCCATGGGATCACAAAGAGTTGGACACAACTGAGAGATGGAACTGAACTGAACTGAAGCTGGGGATTATTGAGGGAGACATTGCCTGCACAGGTCACAAAGAGTCAGACACGACTGAGCGACTGAACAACAACATCATTTTAAATTTAGTGGAAAAATCCTGGTGTACTTAATTGAGCAAGAATCACTTTTGGACAGATTCCAGTTCTAAGATTTAATGATCTACATAGTTAGAAATGGATAAAATGTACAGTGATCTTCAACTCTATGGGGGCAAAAAGATGATACCCTTTTAACAAATGTTATAAAATTTGGGGGAGGTCCTTCATTAGCCTTAAAGCAATGCATAAAAGAAAGAAAATAAAACACAATAATGTCTCCCAAAATTTCAAGTTATCTAGTCTGGCCACACCAACATGACAGAATGAGAAGAACTAAGAAACTGAATGGTATTTTCTATTTTGAAGTTAGTAAGAAAAAGAGTTACTAAAATAAGTTTCCCTAGGGAATAATCTATAGTGTAAATAATAACAGTTTTCTGAATAATCAGAGACTCCATGGAGAGAATGGAGACACAGTTAAATGAAATGAAATATTTCTACAAATAATGCAGCCTGTCACACTATCTTGTCATCATGGATGAAAGATGAATTCAGAGTAACTTAAAAAGTCTTCAGTTACACAGAAGCCTCCATATCACATAACATCAAGCCTCCATATGGTGACAAAAAACACCTGATATTGGGAATCGGGCTTCGAAACTGTGCAACTTTATTATGTAAGACATTAAATTATTTTGAAATAAATAAAGTTTGATTCCAATTCTGGTTTTATCACTTAACATGCTTGACTTTTGGGAAATTAATGAGATGGGGTAAGCCTCATGTTCTTTGAACAAAAAATGGAGATTTCTGTCTTATTACAGTAAATGTCGAAAGTGATGCATTAAACTGTAGCACAGGGAGATGACAATCAGAACGAGACTGAAAGAGAAGCAATCGTTTGGGCTGCTTCAGGAAAGCCAACTGCTAGAGGCGGAGCAAAGGCAGACCTAGCTCTCAGGAGGCTGCTGCAGAGACCGGGAGTTGGGGCAGCAATGGTCCGATCAGGGACACGCTCTGAAAGCAGAGACAACTCGATTTCCAAAGGCAAGAATGAGTTGTGGGAAATCAATAAGGGAGTGAAGAGCACTGTGAGATTTATTGTCTGAGCAATGGCATTGAAGTGGGTACCACTTAACAAGATAGACTGCACTTTTACATTGTGGAAATTTTAAATTATGCATTATATATACTAAATTGATAGTCAAATGCAGATGTCCAGAATTGGAGATATGGCATACAAAAATCTGAAATAAGGGTAGATGTCAGAACTAGAGATGCAGCGTTTGATAGCCTCAGCATTCACGTCAGGAAATGGGAACATCCAAGTAAGGAGCCACTGAACGGCATCTCAGTGGTTTCTTATACAATCTGAGTCAATGATCTATTCACAGTTTGATCTATTCACGCTTGATGTGTAAATTCCTTTGTGCGTCAATAATTTTGCCTTTGTGACTGCATAATGGTACATATTTCTATATAATTCCCTTTCCATCTTTATTTGTTCTATCACTATTTCTTTACATCTGAACTAAATTCTCTGATTTCAGTTTGATGGATATGTTCCCACCCTGTAACCCTTAGTATTTTGCCCATATTTTTATAATAGCTGTTTTTCCATTGGACTGGAATTTTTTGATGCATCTTTATATGTTATATCCTGGGGACAGGGAACTAGGCCTTTTCAAACTTGGTCATCACAATGTGTGTGCCACATTGGACATAAACTGGTACACTATACTCCTGGTTTGGGCTTCCCCGTTGGGGCTAGTGGTAAAGAGCCAATGCAGGAGACAAGAGACCCAAGTGTGATCTTTGGATCGGAAAGATTCCATGGAGAACATAACAACCCACTCCAGTATTCTTGCCTGGAGAATCCCAAGAGCAGAGAGCCTGGTAGCTACTGTCCATAGGGTCATAAAGACCTGGCCATGACTGGAGTGACTTAGCACCCATACGGTGTTTTAATTGATTGGATAAAGGAGAAGGTTAAGTTACAATATGTTAAAAATCCCCCCTCTTCTTTTATAACTTATCTGGTTCTAATGCATGACTTCAGTTTCTATACAGACAAGACAGAATGAAGGAACGATGTAACTTATTTCATCCTATTGGTCTTCACACAAAATCCAAAGGAGCAGAAAGTCTTTATTTAATTATCTGTCTAATATCAGAAACAGAGCTAGTATTCACATCTGCAGTCTTCAAAATCCAAATCTGATACTCTTTCAACCATTTCAAAGATATCAGAGAAAAGATATTTCATCAGAATCTCTTTCATATCACAGGAATTTAAAACTTGTCTTTTATAAATACATATTCATAAAAGTTGTTTTTATGCTTAAAAGTCTAAGCAATTGTTTCTAAGA